CAACTAAAAAAATGTATTGATAACCGAAAATAAAGTTAGTAGTACTAGACTGCTGTACTAGATCTAGTAACACGATTAGTAAAATATGAAATTAAATCGTGCAACATTTTAGGAACAAGAAAACTAAATAGTTACTCGACCTCATCAATGAAAAGGTGCAAACAAATTAAGCAAGGTTTGTATTTCCAACGTTCTGAGTGCTCTTGATCCAATAGTCGGTTTCAAATCAAGCTCAATCAGAAAAATTTAAATACTGTACGTAAAATCGTCGCACCGTAGTCATCGATAAGACGATTAGTAATCGAGAGAAGCTTAAATTAGTAGATGTAAGTACGTAGATCAATTAAAAGACTGATAGTTAATAACGAAACAACAAAACAAAATCATGCAAAAAATCCAGAAAAATTAGGATGTGGGGGAAAGAGAAGAAAATCGAACGCGGGCGTGCCCCGTAAAAACCTATCTATTTAGTAGTTCCAAATATAACGACGATACTCCAAAAAACTGGACAGGTGATATTTGAAAGAGAATAAACGAAGCTAAACGAACAGAGTCTATGGTTTTATCAATTTGGTCCTTGTTGTTGTTTTGGTGGTTGAATTTGACTGAGCTAGTGGGTGGTGTACAGGATGTTTTGCTGCGATTTCGAGATTTGTCTCTGTTTTCATTCTAGTTTGTGGATGTTTTATTATTGTGATTGTGTGAGTGAAAAATATGAGTGCCAATAAGCGACATTCGTTGGATGATTTGACGGAATACTAAATTGTGTTTAGCATCCAATGATACTACTTCATGACAATCAATATAACCTCAAATATATTAGAATTCATTATACTATCTACAACTACTTGTATAATAATCTTATATTAGGGTTGAATTATTATGCTCATGCAAATTTAACGCAACTACTCATGCATCGCTCTAAATAAGATTCCCATTCTCATCGCACTATCGCTCTCACACTAAAAAAAAGGCATTCACAAAGCACACTTTCTTTCAATCCTACACTGTGGGCGTCTTTGGGTGACAAATTCAGGCAGCTCGGTGGGCGTTCCCATTTTCCCCCACTCACATCCACGGGAGCTAACCAGAAGATAAGCCTCGTTTACCGGTCGTTCCGTATATCGATTAAAGCGACCATCATTTAAAGTGTGATTTTCCCACACCCACCTCCCCCTCGTTGACCACACTGATGCTGCTGGGAAACTACCCACGCCCACGGGACCACGTGACGCGGCGCGGTGACAACAATGCAACGACAGAGAAGACAAAAAATGGGGAAAAAGCACGCGCCTACTGCTAGCAGAAACTCTATCTGACAGCAGTAGTAGGCCGCCCGGAGACAGAATCTCGTTGCTCATCGATATTGCTCTTCCTGCGGCTTCCTTAGGTTGGATCACTTTGGAACAAAAGACAAACGATACGGCGGGCGGAGGGCGGTTGGATGACAGAACAAGGGTGTCTGCACCCACTCATCGTGCCGTCGTCAGTGGTGATCGACTGATATAGTGTGTGAGAGGACGAGGATGATGATGATGATGATGGAGCAGATAAAAAGCGAATCCTGGACGGCGATGATGCACGTACGGGGACCACCACGGAGAGCATTTTCATTTGGCATTAGCTAATAATCGATTGGTTCGGCGATTGAATTGAATAAATCGTATGAGAAAGGATGATAAGGGCATTCCCATTGTTGTTGGGAAGGGAAACGATAATGACGGACGGCATCACTCAATAAGCAAATGTAATCTTTATGCTCGCATTTTTGCATCAACGGGTATTTCGGTAGCGATAATGGTGTGGAAGTAGTTTGATTTTGACTCGACTCAAATTTTCGGAAGACATATTTTTCTCAACGAATGTCGGGATGTCATCAAATATTATAAATGAACAATATGGTTCACTCTTCTATTATCACCAAGGCACGATTTTTCCCGACACTAGCGGCACTAGTGACACGAAAGGTGACTAGTACACTGTTAATTGAGCACTTCGCAGTTGTCAGCTCAATATCAACAAGGCTATCAAAAACAACTCACAGTTGAGTAAAATTTTGATCGTATGTACTGTGAAAAATTGCCTATTTTAAATTATATTACAATTTTATTCAAACTGGAGGTTATGGCAAAACATAATATCATATGTAATGTAAAAAAAAACAAGTCTTAGCCTTATACGATTTTTTACTTATTATTGAGTATATTCATAGGGGAAATGGATGTAATGTCGGCCTAAATGCGCCTAATTTGGGCCCATACAAAAATTTAGCAATCGACTAAATTTTCAATAGTGACCGAAAATATCCACTAGTACCGTCCCAAAGACGCGTTCATCTAGATAAAATTCATAAATAGTAAATTTTTAGTGATGGGCCCAATCTTAGATCCATAAGCCAACATTAGAGCCATTTCCCCTATATACTCAAAATTGGGTAAAATGGGGTGGATGCTTTTACCCAACACTGCACTATGAGCTGTTACCTAATTTAAGGAACTATTTACTAATGTGTTGGGTACTTTTTTCAAACCATGTAAGATGGTTTTGACGTATGATAGAGGAAGCTAGTAACTAGAGCAACATGTGAAACGGGCCTAGGTACCAAAAGTAAACAATGACTTTAAACGATGATTTCTCGTACATATAGACTTATTATGGCAACCCGACACGAGCATCTGACATATAATTTGCTCTATCACATGATATATTAGTTTGAGTGGGCGTGTTGTAATTCATGAACAGCCGACGTTTAAATGTATTGTTCAAGCTTGGTTTGTATGCCTTTTCACATGTTGCTGGAGAACGTTCTGGTGACGTAAAATATGCACAGTAAGAAAAGAGTACCCAAATTTGAGTTCACTTTCACTCAACTTGTGGCTTCCGTGGGGCTAGGTAAAATTAAACTAATGAAGATAACTAAATTTTGAGTAATCCTGACAAATAATCCACTGAGTGAAAATTACCTAACGATCAGTCGAATGCAATATTGGAGCACACAACAATGACAGCATCGACAGCAGCGCAGGTTGCTATGACTTTCATCCAAAAATAAGTTAAAAGTTCCCAACGGTGAAAACATGATGGTAGAGTTCTTTTCACTGGACATTGAATTCTTTTCAACTTTGAGTCGCAGCGTGTATTACTTAAATGAAATATATTGAAAAATAATTCGATATATTCTTCTTATTTCTTTTATGCAACACAATTTACAACAATTTAAAGTAGTATATCAATCGATAGTGAAAAATATTACGATTTGAGCTTAACAATGATTACCAGAAAATGAACTTTAATTTGAGTTCATCTATTACTACTCAATAGATGAGTTGAGCTTTTTTAAACTTAATTTTGAGTGTTTTTTTCTTACCGTTTACTTATTCTGATTACCCAAATTTAGGTTAACGATTCTAAGTGTGTTGAAAGTTTGCTTCCTGTCAGTTGACAATGTGGTATTTTTAAGAGGGATGGCAGATATAATCTGCCTTTTCTTTTATTTGTTTGGTTCACATTTAAGCTAATAGTACATTCAGACTATAACTGATATTTATCACGTAATATAGGCTTTCTTGATATCACATTACATTACGTTATTGATATCAACTATAGTCTGAACGTAGTATAATGTCATGACCTCAGAGTAGGCTAGTAAAATGCACGACAAAGCTAATACTGTATGCCACACCTTTTATTTTACTAAACTTATGAATAGATTATATGCTTAAATAATAATGCCACGAATGGTTTTAGTCACCTTTCTCACCGGAAGAGGGTATTACCATAAAGGTAACTCTAAGACTATAAGGTCCCGAAGAAACGTGCTCAACTAATCGATGCACCCCTCAAAACATAGAAAAATCCACGAACCCCTCATTTTATCTGTCAAACTTTCATAGCGAATCAAAACTTGCATAGTGTAGTACTAGAATTTCGACTATAATGGGGTACGTTAATCGATTTGCTTGAGACCAATAGGCTAGTCAAGTAGTGAGCCAATTTAAAATCGTTAGTTTCCACCGGTTAGTATTACTGTTGCGTCTTTTCAGAAACATATGGAAATTCGGGAAGTGAACCACATTCTTAATTTATAATATTTGGAAATCGTTACTAATGAACTCGGACGGAACGATAAGGAAAAAGTAATATGTTTAGAAAAATATGACGTACGATTGATTCGGTTAGGAAAACATTGTTAACTGCTTTCGGGAACGTCATTTCATTTGAATATCTTCTTTTACCCGGGCTAGAACGATCGTCTGTGGTAGCATCACAAGTAAGGGGCACGGTGTCCTCAGAGCGACCGTTTTTGCTTACTGAGCAGAAGATCGTGGGTTGGAACCCAAGCCCCTCTACATTTTTTTTTCATCTCCGTGACGTGGCTGGTGCCGCACAGTGGGACAACGATTCAAGTAGTGTGGTCAAAACCTCTAGCGCCGTGGGTATGCACCCTACAGATTGGCAGTCTTCGACAAAGTTGTTTAGTTTACAAAGAGCCAGCTTTTGTTGATTTCTGATTAGTTTGAATTCCAGCCGCATAGGATGCGCTGAAATCTGTCTTTTGAATGAAGCGTCCTACATGGATGGTTTCTTGGGCAAAGTTGTGCATTTTACAGAAAATAAGATATCGGCTTTCACAAAATTCACTCAAGAAAATAATTATCACAATTTTTTATCGTGTTTAGCTCAGAAGTGTGACCTTAATACGTAGTACTTTATAAAAATGCTAAAATTTTCCCAATTATTATAAATTTTGATAAACGTATTTTCTAAAATATTTCAAACTAGTGGTGTATAAAAACGCCATTTGCTCAAATTAAGACAGAAATGGACGGACAAATTTATTCAGAGTTATAAATTGTAGACCTAGTTGGACATTTCAATGTGCATAGCTCAACGGAGATCACCAAACATGTGTATAAGCCGTCATTAGAATGTCAAATTAAAAAAAAAAATATTCAAATGAGCTTTTTTATTTTTAAAAACGCCTGCTGTTTTCTATTGTACTATGCCAATTGAAATGTCTAACTACTACAGAAAATGATCATTGAACAAATCAATGCTTTAACAAAATATTTCATACAAAAGGATTGAGCGAAAATTCCATACCCAAAATAGCTGAAATTGACCCACGCATTATGTATATATATAATTATATTTTCCTCATGACTCTGGGGAGAGTTTGAACCCCCGTATGGTAAAGTTTATGTGTTTTCCCCGGTTCTCTCGTCAGATTCCCGGGATTTTCCCAGTTACTTTTAAAATTCCCGGTTCGCTGACCAATCCTCCGCAATCCGATAAGTTGCTTCCATCTGCACCGGACCCGCATCCAGTCCTTTCACGAAATTGGCAATGTTACCCATGTACATCCATTGGCCAAGCTAAGCTTGATGACAAAGCGCACCGAGGATAGGTGATTGTACAACTGGTGAATTATTTCGAACATCTCGGATCCCTTTTCGTCCTGCTGTATTTTAAGAACGTGAACTTTTCTCCGGAAGGTTCTAGGATTTATTTTTAGGAGCATCGAAGTTGCATGATTTCTTCGACTCCAACTGGAGATTTTCGCTTAAATGGTGTTACAAGGTTGAAAACCCCTGTCAATGGTCGACCACCACCACGAAGGAGCCTTGTTGAAACACAAATTGAGGATCTAGGAAAATTGCACCTTAACAGTGTCAGTTCAGCGAAACATTGTCCGGTCGCTCTTCGTAGTCTACCGTGGAGCAATCCACATCATTGCATACAGCTCACCGGCCTGAACTCACTACTTGTACGAAGAAATCTATCGCGTGGCATTAGGGAGCGTTTATTTTTGTAATCGTTCGGGGCATGTTTTCCTGTGTGATTATTGGGACTAATTATGTAACATGTCAAAAATTGAGCGTTGACATTTAGAGGTTTTTTTTTTTTAATGCTTTATTAAAGAGATTTTTAGCCTTAGACTAGTTCATCTCTAGTCAGTTGTTGAGGTCTCAGAAGGAGAACGACATTTAGAGGTGGCGCGAGGGCTCTAAGTCCAAAATGTCGAACGATGAGCTTTTTCAAATAAAACATATGCTTTTATAAGTAAGCACGTGATTTTGTGTCCAATTTTGTCCATTTTACGATATCTTCTTCACTCGTTCTTGTGATATTGCCGTTTTGCCGGCTCTCAACTTAGTGGTTGGTTGGTTTGTTGTTTGTCTTTATTAAGGAGATTTTCAGTCAGACGTTGGTTCATCTCCGCTCAACTTAGTGTCCTAGATGCACTTTCACAGTTATTAATTTAGAGCTTTCTATTCCAAACAATGCATGAATTTGTATATTGTGTGAGACAAGCACAATGATATTCTATGCCCAGGGAAGTCGAGAAAATAACCAGCCCGAAAGATTTCCTCGACCGGACCGGAAATCGAACCCACCTTCGGCTTCGTAAAAACGTGCCTTTTTACCGACTAGGCTATCTGAGGCCCATGAAAAACATGGAGACCTAATAGAAGATCTATGCTTTGCATTGCGAGACTTGGATCTTCTAGAGATATGATTGAATCTGATGCAGAAGATTACATTTGCTTACCAGCGACAACGGAAGGATTTCGATGCATGTCACTTAAAACATGTATGCCAAAAACCATGAATACGCATGAACATTTCAAATAAATAAAACTCTTTAATTGATACCAAACTTTAAGCCCACTTTATACAATTAGTACATTCAGTATAATAATACTTATTCCATAATAGAACACCTACATAGCTTCCTACAATCCTACACTTCGTTCGGTAACGGTATCTTGCCTCATAATGTTCCTGCAAATACACTGATATTTTAACGACGGCGATAACACGGGAGGAGAAAACTATTGAACACAATCAACATGTCCGTGTTGTAGAAGTCCGGCTTGGCTCCCGCGTGGAGCTCAATAGTTAAAGATCTTCGCCTCGAATCCTACTATCTAACTTACTAACACAAACAGTACCTAATCCTGTTTCGTGCCCCATTCTAATAACTGGTTCGGCTGACTAGTGCGAGGAATGTCCAAATCTAACAAAACTATGCTATTCAATTTCTCCTCGATCCTACCTAAGTTTTGGCGGAAAATATCTACTGTTGTTCGCGTGGACTGCTTACACTGCTAGTACAACTAGAGGTTTCTTTCTTACTATATTTACAACTAAAACGAAACAACACAATCGATAAACAAGATACTAAATAGTGGAAGGTGTTCCTTAATTGTCATATAAACATCTACAGTGGGGACCAACTATTGTTCGCTTGGAATTCCCGATTCTATATCAATCTGATGTGCCCCGATAGATGGTGGAGCTGACATCTATATTTTTTTTTGTAATCTATAAGGAGATTAAAACTGAACCAAACTCAATAACAAATTGTGCGCGTAGCTGAAAATCACCCCCTCGAACTACACACATCACTGTGATCTAAAAAAATGCGCACATACCGCAAGAAGAAAGGAGCATTTTTCAAGGGGGCATTTTTGTTTTAGAAATTGTTCGTCCGATACACGTGTAGTATTATTGTTGGTTTTTTTTTTGGTAGTAATATTTTCTTATGATAAGTAGATTGCTAGAAAGACTATTAAAATGATGAGTGTTATCGCAACGCACACGGCAATCAAGATTTTTTTCTGCAAAGAAGTACAAAATAGAAGAAAAACGAAAAAGAAAAAAATGAAAATTTAATTAATGGCTCCTGATAAGAGAGTGCTACACCACACAGTTTCTTGTTAGCGAGACGTCAACGACCAACCAGAAGGCAATAGAAGGTAGGTACACCAGAAGGAGCAGAAGGAACAACAGAGAGACAGACAGACAGACAGACAGACACAGAAGAACAAGCCCGGGCCCGAGAATGGATGATTACGTCGATGATGATCGTCCACAGCACATGAAGGGAACAAACACCGGGGAAGGAGTACAGAAGAGAAACAAAACGGAAGCATAATTTACAACATTGTAGCACGAACCGTCAGCGAAAAATCTATTTACACTAGCAGCGGAAAAGAGGGCCTGTGTGCGACAGCCTATCTAGTCACCACCACAACGAGCGATGAGTTTTCCACCAACCGGCGAAACGCACTGACGCGGTGCGGCGGCGAACAACATCTAACAGAACAAAGTGTGAAGATGATGATGGGTGGTGGTTGGAGGGAGGATGATAAATATACAACACACAGAAAGGAGGCACCCACACGCACACACAGAGCGAGATGAGACACCACGCGCCCAAACACAACAACACTAGGCTTTCGTTCAATTTTCCGACTGAACCTGCATCGATTTGGTCCTTCGATGGAGCAAGTCGCGATTAGTAGATTTGCGCTGTCATCGTTCATATCGCTAATTATTTTGCAAACAGACACATCCAACCTTATTCCTGATCAAAAAGCCTTCAGAATATATACTGACACCCAACACCGAATAAAATCTTGTTAGTAGGTCTAATAGTGACGTTTCACGTTTTGTAATGTAACTCGTGACAATCCCAGGCGAACTTCCATGCTTTTAACATTTTTTTTTTGTATGAACTGGAAGTTCTTTTTTTATTATTAGAACATATAGAAACACGTCAGCATTCATCCCAAAACGCTTCCCAAAATATATGATTCAACAGTAGAATTTATTTTCTAAATCTAGAAAAATTTTGTATGTACAAGAATCTTTAAAAAAGAAAGTTAAGTCTGCCACTCGGCACAGTCGTGTTTGATGCTGTTTCCAGCCATCGGAGCCGTCCTGATCCTGCGGTTGAAATCGGTGAAGGGATCTTTCAGCCTGTGTTACTAGGCAAGTATTCTTCATATCGAAACCTTACTCTGCCTGACATATATTCTCGTTGCAGTTTACCTGAGCGGAATGGTGCATCTTCTGGTCTCACCTCACCCAACGTCGCCGATATATCGTAGCTCAGATCTGCTGTACTATCAAAATGTTAGTGGCCTCAGGACCAAAATTGTTCAAGCTTTTCTTGCAACCGCTGAATTGGTTTAAAAACGACGTGTACGTATGCACAGTAGACTGATGCAAAATTTGACTTTTTCGCTCCACAGTGCTTAAATGGTTTCAAATCGGGTCCTGATTAGCCTCCCAAAGTTACAACTCATTTGGTTAGAAACAGACTTCGCACAAACCATTTGAAGTTTAAATGCAAATTAATATGGGAAATCTCAACTTTTTGTTCATTGCCTTCTAGTCTTTTTCCATATTGAGCAGCGAAACAGTTTGATAGCCATTATTAATGAAAATTTTCTCAGCTACAACTTTGCTGAAGATCGTTTCTATGAAAAACGAGACAGGAAAATGTTATTAATTATTTAAGAGATTGGTAAACTTATGACATGATCAAGCAGCTGCTCTGTAGGCAACACTGTATTTTGCAGTGTGACATAGTAGCCATGATTTTTGTGTCCTATTCAACGCCCCAGAAACACCAATGTTGCCTGCTGAGCAGTTGATTGAGCATGATCATTAGACATCAGCGCATTGAACCATTGATAACTTTCGATCCTTGCATTTAATCAAAAAGTGATCTTCAGCAAAGTTCTAGCTGGGAAAATTTCCTACAAGTACAGTTGAAAGCTTTTAAAGCAGACCGATATGGTGAATTATTAGATATACATGAACAAAAATCTTGGTTTTACCATAGTAATTCCCATACAAACTTCAAATGGTTTGTGCCATCTCAGTTTCTCACCAAATGGGTTCAAATTTTGAGAGGTTAGTCAGGATCCGATTTGGAATCGTTTAAGTATTGTGGAGCGAAAAAGTCAAATTTTGCATCAGTCTAATGCACAGAGACTTGGCTGGACGATCGTATTAAATCTTGCCAGATATTCAACAACGACTACGTTGCGCCTTCAACAGCTAGCGTCAACATGACGTACTAATAGCCGTGAAGCGAAAGTACGCGTCTCCAGTTGTCCAGCCTACAAGCAACATTGAGCAGCTGCGGGTGAAAGTCGCTGTCAAACCACTGCCTCTGTTTGTTGGTGCACTGTACTGCCGGTGGAAGCATAACTGTCCCATGTTACAAAACACAAAAATGAGATAACTGTAGTTAAAGTTTGAACAGACGTTTTGCTGCTATCGTAAAATTTCACGGAAAAATTTGGTTCTACTTCGAAAAACTGACGTAATATGGAATATAGAAAGTTAGTCAAAATTTTGCAAAAAATAAATTTTTCCATTAAAAAATCTTTTGTGAAAGTTATGCCGCGAATTTCTCTGACGTGTTGAAAAATGTACGCATTTCTGTCCCACTGTGAACAACTTCTCAGTTGCTGCTGTTATTATGTTTAACGCTTCGTGGGTGACGGTTGGAGTTTTTTCTTTAAATTGTTGATTTCAGTGCCAATATTTCAAAGGGGCGTAATTGCGTTTGTAAACAATGGATTTAGCCGTCGATTTCTCGCGGCTAAAAAAGCTCACTCATTAAAATTAATGATACCACAGAGACACAGGCTAAGGAATGTTTCATCTAGCATTGTTAATTTGGAGGGGTGAGCATTTATTTGCGAGATATCGACGGCTAAAGCAATTTTTTTACAAAAGCAATTACGCCCCTTTGAAATGTTGACACTGATTTAAATGTGGGCCCGAAACGTCTGCCATAGAGTATTTAAAGCAGTACGGTGGTTCCAGTGATAGTGATAGCTATTAGCATTTAACGAGACATTTGCTCCCTAGGGGCATCCCACTCTAAACTTCATATCTAATATCAATAAAATATTTGTAAATCCCGCGTAAGTATTCTTAAGTATTTTTAAGTATTTTATACCATTGCTATGAATTTCCATCGAAGTAACACTTATTTTTTAATGACCGGTTGCTAGTGCATGTGTTTGTTGTTGACTTGTTGTTGTCGGTCGTCTTGTATTTATAAAAATAGGAGTGTTAAGTATTTTTATTATGAGTATAAATTAGTATTATTTAATTTATATTTTTCAGCGATTCAGCATGTAAAAAAGCTTCAAGGACTACTTACAAAGAATGATGTTTTCAGTACAAGTTTAACGGTGTTTACCGATCGACTGAACTCAAAGTGTGTATTGGCTCACATATACCCTTTCGGTGCACAAAGATCCTGCGATGATGAGTATTGGTATATTCAGATATGAGCGTGCATTAGCAGACCGGAGTAAAATTTGCGATGGCATGAGAGAGACAACTAGTACTTTTCTTTCTCTCTCTCTCCCACTCGTACCTTCGCAAAATCTCGCCTTGCGCGTGAAACTTCGCTCAGGACGGACTTCACCTTATTTCTAAACATGTTAATTGCCGTTGACCTACCTAGCAGCGAATCATCTGACTACGATTTTGTTTTTGCAGTATCGAGGATCTGAAGCCGTGAAAACGTGTTGTAGGCCTGAGCAAATGCAGGAAGAAAAGTTTGTCGATCTACCGGGTGTTGAATGGGAATGATCGTGATTCGTTTCTGACCGGAAGCTTTTGGCCCTTTTGACTCTCCTTTTGAATAAACTACTATATTGATTTGTTTGAAAAAATAATGTTATTATTAAATCACATTGAACTCAACGTTTTACTTGTTTAAATTATACGTAGGAAAATAAAGAAAACTAAATCCGTTCATTTAATTAATTCTGACTATGTTGCTTATACTGTGTCCAATGGCCTTTATGGTTTATTATCTACTGTAATAAGCATGTTTTGCGTTTGGAAGGTGGAAAGCTAAGAGATCTGCGTTTCCGCAATACCCCCCATATTCTCGTTTAAAATGCTATCCGGACGTAAGCGAGAATATGGGTGATAGTATGGTCACATGGTTTCGTACATCCAATTATGTTCTTATCAGGCATTGTCATAGTCACACAGCCAAGAACCGAGCGGAAAAAGAACAACACAAAACTCACTATTAGATTGGTTATACAAATGATGGAACTCGAACGAGTAACAACAAAAGGTTCCAATGCCTATCAG